GGAGATTTGTGACAATTTGAAATAAAGATGAACCACACAGCCTAGAAATATCAAGATATTAAGACAAAGTGAGGTATGTTATGAATGCATAAAATATCTGTAGATATACATATAACATACAAAAATGTGTTATCAGTAAGGCTTCCAGTCATCAATAGGCTATTCGTAGTTAAGTTTTGGAGGGAAGTAAAAAGTTATACTTGGATTTTCAACCACTCAAGAGGTCAGTGCCTCTAACCCAGTGCTGTTCAAGGGTCAACCAATAACTCTCTTTATAAAGACCTGTAAAGATAAACTATAGCCACAGAGCAAAAAGAAGCAAGTTATCAGGGTCCTCAAAACTGGTGTTGACATTCACACACTGATCTACCAAAGAAGCAGGGATATTAAACTCTACACGGCTGAAATTCTCAAACTTTAATATGCACATACATTTTTTTACACATTCACTGGGCCTCACTCCCAGGGATTCATGTCTGTGTGGAGCCCAGGAATCTGCATGTTAACAAATTTCTCAAGTGATTCTGAGCAAGAAGTCTATGAACTTGTTGAGATCAGTTCTCATGCTTTCAAATCTTGTTAATACACCCAAGGAAGCTGCGGACCACAAGCAGCCCCACCATTCACCCCAAGGGCTGAAGTAAAGGAATGATACCCAAGTATTCCTAAACCCACGTGCTATGGAACCCCAACTGGGAAGAACAGCCTAAGGAAGACCACTCTGCTTTTCTACATAAACAGTGAGACCGGACACGAAGAATAGGGGCAATGTGTTACTGGGGCTCAGACCACAGGTCCCTTGTGACCACCCTATGTCACAGGATCCTTACCTGTAACTGATCTTCCAGAACAGCTGTAGCACTCTCGCCACTGTTTTCATCTATAATCACCACCATGTGAGTTAGGGAATTTACCTTCACTTGTTCAGCCTCAAGATCATTTTGCAAACTCTAGAGAAAAAAATTAAGATAAACCATTATTTCTACTCTTTCCCATTTACCCATTTAAAATGTGCTTCATTGTCAATAGTAATTAAGGACACTTAATGAAGCATCGTGTTTAAATTTCCAATCATTAACCTAAGTGTTCTACTAATGAAACAAACCCGTTATACATCTTTACATTTCATTATGAACCAAAGCAGTTTGAAAACGCAGTGTCAACCCAGGAATCCCTCTCCTAGGCATATATCCAGAAGGAACCCTACTTCAAAATGACACCTGCACCGCAGTGTTCATAGCAGCACTATTTACAATAGCCAAGACATGGAAACAGCCTAAATGTCCATCACAGATGACTGGATAAAGAAGATGTGGTATATTTATACAATGGAATACTATTCAGCCATAAAAACCAACATAACACTATTTGCAGCAACATGGATGTTCCTGGAGAATGTCATTCTAAATGAAGCAAGCCAGAAAGAGAAAGAAAAACAACCATATGAGATTGCTCATATGTGGAATCTAAAAAAAACAACAAAACAAAAGAAAACAAAAACCATAAACAGAAAACAGAAACAGACTCATAGACATAGAATACAAGCTTGTGGTTGCCAGGGGGGCGGGGCATGGGAAGGGACAGACTGGGATCTCAAAATGTTGAATAGACAAACAAGATTATACTGTACAGCACAGGGAAATATATACAAGATCTTGTGGTAGCTCACAGCGAAAAAGAATGTGACAATGAATATATGTATGTTAATGTATAACTGCAAAATTGTGCTCTACAATGGAATTTGACACAACGTTGTAAAATGATTATAACTCAATTTGAAAAAGTTAAAAAAAAAAAGAAAAGACAAGGCAGTGTCATGACAGATTGCAAATGGGATGTCATCACTTTCATGCCAAGTTTGCCAAAAGAAAAAGAAAAATAATGTGTAACACAAACAAGTTGAGCACTTATCCTAGGAATTAAGAATACAGAATCATTAAATCAAAAAAGTCCCAAACTTAAATACACAGATTCAGAAATCATTTTACCTAGTGCAGCATGGTATAAAGTGAGAGAGAAGTAGAATGCTATTTGATGGTCAGAAGCTGTTGTGTTTAGCTACCTAGGAAAGCAGTTAGGGACACAGACTACTTCCATTCCCGTCTCTTCCATGGGAAGGGCACGGCAGGTCGTAAGACTATGTATATAGGAAATTTATTTAAACATTTTCAATAGTGTTGTCAAATGCCTGGAGTTTTTGTGTTAAACATATCACAAGAGCATTATTTATCACTTATCTAGGTACTTCATTGAAAAATAAAGTTCTTCAAACAATTTGCAGAGAGGCTATGTTACTCCATGTTTCCTTGACTATGAAACGTTATCTCCTAAACTGGTGACCAAATTAAACTATCCACCAAATTTTAAATCTTCACATACGAGAAGAATCAATAGCATGCCTTAAAAGATTAGGTATAGATTAGTCAGAGGGCTTCCTTATTTCCTACACTAATGCCACACATTTGGGCTCTTAACCACTTATCAGTCCAAAAAAAAAAAAAAAACCCTTGAGAATCTTACGAACACTATGCACTTTCATTAGAAAACTATACATACGCATATAAAATTTTACCTGCACTTCCCTCCCTGGCTCAGAAGAAAACTCACATCCCCATGAACTCCACCCTATAAGCTACTGAATAAAAGAGAACACTGGAGAAGTGTCCCATCTCTGCACTGATGACAGACGCCATCAGCCCCCGAGAATGCTAAGTGCTGCTATTTCATATTTGATAAGGCATAAAAGAAAAATGAGCCAGATTTACTTTATGATCTTCTAGCAGCTTCTGGAGGGATTTTAAGTCTTCATCCAAGGGGCAAGTTTCCATCTTCTGAATGCGTTCTTCTGTGAGCGTCAGCCAGGCGGAGAGCTGCTGCAGCTGCTGCTTCTGCAGTTCCATGAGCACGTCATGCAGCCTGCCCGCGGGGAGCACAGCATTAGTCCCACTCCTTGTCCCCTTTGCAGAGGCAAACAGACCCTCCAGGCACCAAAGAAATGGGGCAGGGAACCCATTCTTGTCAAACCATTGAAAGTAGCATTTAAGTTTTAAATATAGAAACCGGCCCCACAAAAAAATTCTTCTTACATGAAGTCAATTAATTGCAGTCAAAGAATGCAAGTAACAGCACCCTCTGTTTGTATCAGAATCATTGTTTCTTCAATCAGGAATTCCTGCCTATTAAATAGGTGGAAATGCAAGAGAATGCAGTTTGCTCCTTAATACACAGTACATGATATAAAATGAATCGTGGGAAAAAATGCTTTAAAAACTGTTACAAAATGGAATTGTAGATAAAAACGACATAGTCCTATCTTCATATCAGAGTTACTGGTTAGTGAATTTTAATACTGCACAGAGACAACTGTGCATACAACATGTCTTTGCCTTTTTTTTTTTGCTTATTTCTGTATCCCAACTTATACCTTTTCATTTGGTTAACATACCAAAGGGGAAACAAAGATCATAGAAAATTCCAGCAACACTGCATAAAAGAGTCAAAATTTTGCAAGGCAAATTCTCTAGTTATCTTGTTGTCACACATGCAGATTTTCACTTGTTCTAAACTGGGCAGTGCAGTCAATGGAATAAAATACTCATTTCTGGGCTTCCACTCACCGGGACTGTCTGTCCATACTTTCCACCCTGAGTGCCTCCCATCTGGCATTCAGCAGGGTCATTTGCTCTTGAATCTCAAATTCCTCTTCATCAGACAGAGTTCCTTGTGTTATCAGCTGGTTTCCTGCCTGCAGGACATTCCCCACACTGCTCTGGTGTGCCGTCAGCTCCATCATAAAAGCCTAGGGAGGTACATCATTGTGATTTGTGAGCTGCTCGATGAAGGGAAAAACACTTAATAAATTGTTAATGCCTAAATATCGACGCTGTGCAAAACAGGAACCATGTCGAGTGCAAATAAAGAGTTTGATCTAATTTCTTAAGCTCTGAATATGGGAAATAAGCAGCTGGCCTAAGGAAAAAGGTGAGTAGATCAAAGAGGACAACGTGACATCTGATAACATTAACCAGCTATTTCCCAGTAAATGCAGATTATTCTACTGATAGACTGTGAACATGGAATTATGAGAAGATACAATAAATAAAACACCATGCTCATCCAAGAGGAACTGCTTAAAGAAAATGGCCATTTCTCTTATTTTCAAAACAAAACAGCAAAGAAGACTTGTCAATTAATATGTCAACATAAAAAAACTACTTAATCAAAAGAATTCTTCATATAACCAAATCACTACAGTGCCATATATTCCTGAAACAGTAGGAAATTTTCACTATATAAGATTACGCTGGAATACTGGATATGAGTTTGCTTAATCATACAATAAATAAAAATAATCACTTTCTGGGGAATATTCAAAATCTAAAGATTTGCTGTATCGATGAGCCATTTTGTGTTTTAACTATAATAATACACTTCAGAAACAAGCAGTCCTACGCATTGATTTTTGTCAGTGGCTCCACAGCATCTACAAATTACGTAAGATTAAAATCTGAAATCTAATTCCAATGCACAATCACCCACTCCAATTTTATAACAAAGCCCTACTTAAATATCACGAATCCTAAAATATGCCGTGACCTTTCTGTGGAGCAGAATTCAGTAAACAGCAAACATCAGGAGGAGCCCCTGATTGAGGCTCAGGCACTGTGGTGGTTACATCCCGCTCATCGACTACAGATTATTTACTTCGTGGGTGGCAAACTGGTCCTTGACTTCTTCAACATCATCAGAAATGTCATCCTGCTCCTGGAAAGTGTCCTCGGCAGAAAGCAACCAGGTCAGCACTTCCTCCAGCGCTATCTGATAGCTGTCGAGATCCATGTCAACCTCGGTGACAGTGCTGGGGGTTTCGGCTCGCGGACTCTCCTGCTCCTCCTCCGGCGCTGGGCTCTAAAAAAAAAACCCAAGAAAACCCACAAGCATCGTGAAGATGAGAAGGTGTTCAACAAAGACACACTGGCTGGAGAACCTAAGGTAGGCCCCTCTGTGTCTGAGGCGTTCATCCAGTTCTCGGGGGCTGGGTGAGCAATGCCGTGAACTAGTCAGAAAGCATTTATGAAGTCTGCTAGCATGCAGGCGGTACAAAAGTGGCAGCACTCATGGCTTCTGTGCTCATGGAGATTCTAATATAGTTGGGAAGAGACAAATAACCAACATGAATCACTTCTCAACAAAAATAAAAAGGCTATTAGCAAAGTTATAAATTCCATGGTTCCAACAAGGCATGCTATTTGAATTCACTGAGGGCTAAAATAGGAAAGTTCTGGAACATGTTGGGCCTTGAAGGATAGATGCCATTTAAAGAGACAGAGATTAGAACTCTGCTTTGAACCTAAATTGCTTTCACTGAGTAGCATTTTAGCAACTGAAAGACACTGAAACACAGCCACACATACAGGCTGTTCTACAGAAAATATTTTTTGAGGCAATTGCCCTCTAGTTTACTTGCTGGTCTTTTTAAAAAAGAGCCCATAGAATAAGTCATTCCAAGCCCCTTCTAAGCAATGGAAGATTTTCTTATGTACCTGTAGAATTGTATAACCAAAGCAACCACCTCTCATTCATTTGTTCCCTTCTAGAGCAAAAGTTCTTTAAAATTTGCCTACAGCCTATCTCCACTTTATCACATCTCATCCACAATTTTGATGTATCTCAAAGATACAAAAATGTACAGAGAACAATATGTGAAATGTCCATGTATTTAACAGCTACATTTGTTACCAATCCCTTTCACACTGATTAGGTATTGGTCCCCACTTATTCACTTGGAAAGGCTTTTGCCAATAACCTTCTCACTGACAAAGCCACCTTTCTAGCATCACCTTCAGGATGACTATGTAATTAACCTACAAACCAGAACATTTTTGATAATCACAGTGTTAGAACAACAGGCATAAATCAGAACTGTTCCAAGCAAACCCAGAGATCTGGTCACCTTACGTTTCTGACGCTCTCAGTGGCATTCTGTATGTCTGACCAGTCCTCACCCTCTTGAAGCTTCCCTTTCCCTGACTCCACAACACCACATTTCTCTTCCTCCTACTTCAATAGCATTTGCCAACATGTGAGTAATGAAGCTTCTCAAAATGAAGTCCTGGGCCCCCTTTATTTTCTCTCTCTATGCATTGCCTGAGTGATTTCATCCATTCCCACTGAACTGAAAGAACCATCTACACCCTGCAAATATTTCCTCTGTTATCTCTGGTCCCAAACTCCAAACCCCTATGTCCCACTTCCTTAACATCTCTCCTTCAATGTTTCTTAGGCATATCAAAAACTGTCAGTACTTAAACCCTCCATTTTTCCCCCAAACGTCTTCAGACTTCCCATTTCAGTAACTGGCTCCTTCATGCACTTAATTCCTCCAGCTAAAAACCAAGGAGCCAGCCTTGGTTTCCCTCTTCTTTCCACCTCCCACATTTAATATGTATAAGCAATTCTTACCTTAAAAATGTATCTCAAATCCATCCAGACCTTCCCACTTTCACAACAACCATTTGTCCTCAGCATTATAACAGCCAGCTAACTGGTGTCTTTACTTCCTCACTGCTACCCAGACTCCTACCTGCGCCATCCACTTCTCACCCAGCAGCCAGAATGATGTTCGGAAAATGTAATCACATCATAAGACTTCCCTGCTTAAACTCTTTCACTGCTTTCCCAATGCTCTTAAGATACAATTTAAAATTCTTAACATAATTTACAAAAATACTGTGACAGCAAGAAACAGAGTGAATGTGTGAGCGTGTGTGTGCATGTATGTGTGTGTGTAGGGTTGGATTTCAATTAGGTTAATCAGGGAAGTTTTCTCTGAACAAGCTCCATTGAAACTGAGGAAAGATGGG